GCCGGCCACGCCGAGGCAGAGGCGTCCGCTGCCCCAGTGGCCTCCCGGGCCAGCGCGGCTGTCACGGGCTCGGGCGCAACTCTGTGGCCCTGGGCGGCACCTCGGTATCTCCAGAAGGCCCGGGCCTTCGGGAGGCCGCCCACCTGCCGGACCCTCCCCGCAGGTGAGCTGCGGCTCTGCCTGGCGGTGGCCGCAGAAGGACCGAGAGAGCCCTGTAATCCAGGGGAAGGGCATGTCTTGCGTTTCGAATCCTTGTTTGGACTTTTACTAATGTGAGAACTTTGGGAAACAAACGCGACGGGGAGCGGGTAAGCACTGTTACCCAGGGGAAGGTGCTGCTGACCTGCCCTGCAGGCCCCTCGGTATTCATCTGCAGGCAGGAGTTACCAGGACCTCCTTAAGCAGGTGAAGCTGTGGGAACTGGACTGGTTTATAAGACCCCATATGGGCCAGAGGTGAAGCCGCTTCAAAACTTTAAATGAAAGACTCTCCTCCCCTGAGAGTACTGTGGGGCCTTGAGAAAAGTCTTTTCATCTTTTTCTGGAGGAGAATGAGTAGGACCTAGTTTATTTAACTATTTATGACCTTGACTCAGGCTGTGGATTTGGGCACCGTGGCCGAGGAGGACATTTTGTAGACAGACGACGTTTTTTCCTTCTAGTTGGAGGAATCTAAATTAGTGATTTAAAAAAAAAAATGTATTGTTCAGTATGTGGGTATGGCACATCTGTACTGGTTCTGTTTAATGACCTCTTGAAAGGTACTGTGTACTCTTTAATAGGGTAGATCATGTACCAGGTGTCCAGGTGGAAAATTGACATTTGTGTACCTGCGTGCCAACCACAGCCTGAACTCTTTGGAGGTTATGCATTTTAGGGAAATAATTATCTGTGCTCTTGGGGTAACAGGAATTTGGAAACAGCCAAAGTAATAAGTAAGGTCACCTTTTCCAAGTTCAGTGTTGTTTTAAGGGAAATTTTGTACATACTTTCTTCATGACAGAACTTGTATAACTTACATTTTTCTTCTAAGAAAGAAAAAAATCACTTTCACAAGTAGGATCATGTTTTGAACTTGGACCCTTCACTTTGGATTGGTTAACTGCTGCCGTTCACAAATAAGAGTATAAACAGAATGACAAAACATCTGATGTGGAAATCGATCATTTCATATGATTAGGGCCTGGGTGCATATGGTTTCCTTTGCCCCATCTATCCATAAGCTATTCTTTTACTGGATTCTAGTGTTTAGTTATTAAATAAGTTAGGCTAAAGAGCCAATAACTATTTAGCTTTAGTGGGGACAATAGTTTCAGTTCATGTAAATATTTTCAAATTGTATTCAGAAATCCAAATTTCTCAGAGTTTATGGTAAAATATTCCAGACCCTTGTCAAAAGGTTATGTTTTAGGGTAACTGCTTTTTAGGTGAAAGGTCAGAATTTCACTCCCAGAATTTTCTCCCAGTAAGTTTTTACCCCCATAGTAAGAATTTTTAAAATTTTTAAATGAGACTCATAGCAAAGTTTGTAGTTAAACTAGGCAGCAGTGATGTCATGCAGAATGCAGTGGCTGTAAAATCAGACAAACCTGAGTTTTAACTCGTCACTTGCTAACTGTTCCCTCAGGCATATTATTTTACTTCTTTTGAGACTTGGTTTCCTGATACATGAAATGTGGACAGCTAACACGCATGAAGGAGAGTGCCTTGCACATAATACACAATAAACATAAATTCTGTTTATCTCCCAAAAGTGCTTTTTACTCTGTCATCATTTTTTGAATGTTATGCTGTGGGTCTACAAGGAATATTTTTTGATACTTCTTTTTGATTGATGGAGTAAATAGCACATTGGAGGCAATACTGTGATTTTTCTTTCAGTGTGTGATTGAGCCAGACATTGACTCATTGTGGGTGAGAATCTAGGCTACCAGATCCCAAATACAGTAACATTGTTATTATTAAACACTTGAGGCTGTCTTTTGTTAATCCAGAATGGGTTTATTTAGTCAGTGAGTTTCTCCTTTGTTCCTAGACCAGTATCTTGTACCTGGCATTGGTTAGTGTTGCATCAGCACTGTCAGTAGTCCTCATTTCATGGTGTTTAGATGACACTTCTCTCAATTGTCAATGAAATTGGTAGCATGTGAGGCAAAATACTCTTTTTAAGCTATAATATGTCATAATTGTTTTACTTAGCCAATATTTTGGTTTTAGAGGTGGTGTGTGTGTGTGAAAAAGTCACTGAGAACTGGGGACCATGTATGTACAGAAACACACTGAACATCTGAGAGAAATGTCCTTGCTTATCACCTTTATTCTGATACTTATCACCTGCATGAGTTATCCTAATAGGTAATATCAAGCTATTTATACCAAGGCCATGAGTAGGATGTTTCATTAAGTTAATGTTATCGGGGCTGCTGATCATGAAATTAAACTGTAGCCATGCTCATGTGTATTGTTTCATTAACTCACCTGCCCACTCGGCTTTTTGCAGTATAGCTTCTGCGAATGAAGGAGAAAATGTGTAGGAGAGTTGCTCAGGAAAGTTCAACAACAGACCATGTTCCTGAATAAAATCTAGTGAGCTACACGGTTTCTTCATGTCAGGATAGAATAGTTCAACCTGCATGGGACTGGCAGATATAGTTATTAGCCTGCCTCAGGTTTTGACTACATTTTTCAGGTTGAAGAGTCTTCTGATAACTATTTCATTTTCATTGGAAACTCTTTGGTTTCAGGATCCAAAGTAATCTGTAGGTGCAATATTTTGTGTGTTTTAGAATGATCAAATGTTCTCCCTAAAGAGGTGATATGGGGGGAAAGCTTAATGTACCATTTTAATAGATTCAGTTTTTATTATGCACGAATAACTCAGGTCCTATAACCCAGCAATATGATTAGAGTGTGATGCTGGCTTGAAATAATAACGATGGTGAATAATAAACACGCTGGTTGGTTATATTTCCCAGAAGCCGGGGATTTTTTCTTCTATTTATTTTTATTTATTTATTTATTTATTTGATTTTTATGGCTGACCAGTGCGGGGATCTGAACCCCTATCTTTATCTTTACCTATATCCCATGTTTGGTTTCGGACTTCTCTGTCTCAGAGAAACACATTGTCAGAGTTATTCATTGTCAGAGACATGGACTGGGGAAAGTAGAATTTAAAACAGCAGTAATCACAGGGTCCTTGCTTGCATTCTTTTTTTTAAAATTTAAGTTAGTCTTAGACAACCTCTATATCACTCCCGATTATCTCATGGTCTTTGTTCATGTACAAACACACAGCAAATAGAACAATGTGTTCTCTATTTTTGTTCAGTTTTTTACCCCGCACGTATGGTTTCCTGTAACCTGTTAGGAAAAGCTTGAGTACACCATCACATTTGTTACTCTGTTAGCACTTCACCAAACCATCATCCATACAAAAAGCATTTGTGCTTCTGTGCCTAGCCAGGGTTGGGGCCTGAGGTGGTAACTGATAAGCGATGAAGTGGTAATACGCCATGCTCTGCCCAGGAATCACCCTGCAGGAGTAATAGGGGTTGTTTCCAGTTTTTCCACTATTATAAGGAAAGGTTTATTTCCTTTTCTTTTCAAATCTTTTGTGTGTTTGGCACTTTTTATATAATAACATGGGAAGATTTTTTTAAAACTCCCTCAAAGTAATTACATTCGTTGTGGAAAAGTTAGAAAGGGTAGTTAAGTCTAAATTTAAAAGAAAAACCAAAAAAACAAAATGAACTTCCTATAATCCTACTACCCAAACGTTACCTCTGTTGAACATTTTTAACAGCTTTATTGAGATATAATTTATCTGTCATCACAATTCACCCACTTAAAGTGTACAATTCAGTGGCTTTTTAATATATTTGCAGAATTGTGGGAACCATCTCCATAGTCAGTTTTTTAACATTTCCATTATCCCCCAAATAAACTCTGTACCCATTAGCTGTTACATTCCATTTCCCCTCAAACCTCTTGTTTCTTGACAACCATTCATCTACTTTCTGTCTCTATAGATTTGCCTGTTCTGGACATTTCATGTAAATGGAATGAAATGTGAAATATGTGGTCCTTTGTAACCAGCATCTTTCACTTAGTATCATGTTCTCAAGGTTTATCCATGTTGTAACGTGTCAGTACTTCATTCTTTTTTATTGCTGAATAATATCCCATTATATGGATATACTGCTCCATTCATCAGTTGATGGACATTTGGGTTATTTCTGCTTCTTGGCTATTATGAATAATGCTGCCATGAACATTTGTGTGCAAGTTTGTTTGTTTTTTTTCCTTTTTGTCTTTTTTCGTGACCGGCAACGGATCGCAACCCTCAGTGTCGCGCTTGTACCGGACCGGGACCGGCAACGGGATCGCAACCCTTGGTGCTGCGCCCGCACCTCGCTCAGCCAGTCGCAACCCTCGGTGCTGCGCCCGCACCTCGCTCAGCCAGTGAGCGGCCGGTCTGTATGTGGGATCCGAACCCTTGGCGGGAGCGCCGCCGCACTCTCAAGCGGCGCACTGTAGCAGTGCACCACCGGGCCGGCCCTGTGTGCAAGTTTTTGAATGGACATATATTTTCATTTTTCTTGTATGTATAGCTAGGAATGGGATTGCTGAGTCACATGTTAACTCTGTTTAACCTTTCCAGGAACTGCCAGACTGCTTTCCAAAGCAGCTGCGCTATTTTACATTCCCACCTGCAATGCAGGAGGCCTCCAGTTTCTCCACATCCTCAGCAACACTTATTACTGTCTGTGTTCTTGATGTTAGCCATCCTCGTAGATGTGAAGTGATGACTCGTGGTTTTGATTGGAATTTCCTCAATGGCTAATCTAACATTTTGATATATGAGGGTTCTTCAAAAAGTTTGTGGAAAAATTGAATTAAAAGATAATACAAATCTTTCCATGAGGTTTCTGAAGTGTCTTTCAGATGTTTTTTTTTTTTTTCCTTTTTGTCTTTTTTCGTGACCGGCAACGGATCGCAACCCTCAGTGTCGCGCCCGTACCGGACTGGGACCGGCCACGGGATCGCAACCCTCGGTGTTGCTCCCGCCCCTCGCTCAGCCAGTGAGCGGCCGGTCTGTATGTGGGATCCGAACCCTCGGCGGGAGCGCCACCACGCTTCCCAAGCGGCGCACTGTAGCAGT